TGGACAAAGGGCAAACCTATTCAGGTTTATCAGAGATGAAGTTAGATTTGAGAATTGGGTTGCTCGTTCTTTTGCGTGCTGTGCCTCCAAAATTTAGAACAAAAGCCAGGATATCCTAAGGTTGAGGGTGTTGATCACTGCTCGGCCCGGATATATCCAGACCGCAGCAAGCATGGTCCCTTTTGTTTCAACTGCCTATCCAAGGCCAGAAGCGTTCCAACACCTTGGAGCGCTTTTTCCATGAAGCTTGGGCAAAAGTGGTGTGAGGGATCACAACTCCCAAAAGAACACTGTCCCATGCGAGCTGCGGTGTGGTTGATGTTTTTCGGGATATGGAACATGTTCCGACACTTGGGATGCTTCAGGCATCAATGGCATGTGTTCGTAAGAATCATCAAAAGAGCCCTCCAAGATCTCAGATTAAGAGGTTTGCTCCCTAAACCCCAGCAAACCTGCCAGTGAACTTTACTACAATTGATCAATCAATGCGTTCATGGTTGTTTCTTTCGTGTCTTACCAAGGCCGTCTTTTTCCACGACCCTCACCTGAACTGAACTGGGTCTTGAAGCAAAGGGGATCTAGTCGTTGCAGATCCTTCTGCAAGCATCAATTCTGGAACTCCAGGAATCTTGCAGGACTTGTGCAGGTCATTTCCCAAATGCGGGCACCCTTTTTCTAGGGACGGTGCTGCCAACATTCATCGTTTTGAATGCGAAGTGAAGTGAACGGAGATACCCCCCGTACATGCATAATCCCGTCCCCCTAATAATAAACACGGGCCCCCCCCCCCCCTATTAAAAAAACCTCGGTCGCATTCTTTTTAATAGGGGGTCCCTGAAATCGGGGGGGGCCAAAATAGGGTCACCTGGAAAGAGTTTCAAAACCAAAAAGTAATCCAGGAAAATTTTATATAAAATCCTTTATTAAACTCATATCAAAAATGCAAAAAGCCGCCAGATCGAAGGGTCTTCCTTTTCCCTTACAAAAACATTCATTAGAACAGTGATTCTTCAGTAGACTAACAGCTAAAGCTTTCGAAAGGTGATGTCGCTGTGCCATGCGGTGTTGCATGACCTCGGTGGCAAGTGCGTTTGCGTGAGTCCGTGCCATTGAGGGAAGGAAGTGTAAGCGCGGCGTGTCATGGTGGAGTTTTGGGGAACCTAATTAAAAAAAACTACCCCCAAAATCGACCATGTTGGTAGTTTAGTAGCGGTTTGAAAGGGCGGCAATTTAAAACCAAATATAAACCGAATTTAGGGGTTCGGACGTGGGGGTTTTTTAATTGGGGAGTGTTTATTAATAGGTACTCGGGATTATATGATCGCTGAATACAGTATTGATATTTCAACTATGCATATCTCCATGTTGCCCAGTTTCCTACTTTAAAGTGAGCCCAATGATTTACAGAATGGGGGCAGGGCGCCAGTCAGAGTTGTGACACACCTTTATCCCTTACCAATTTCCAGCTGGCCAAGCATGACAGCTCAGGAAGCGACGCCGCTCGGTTTGCACAGAGTTGTAGCATGAGAAGAGAGGTACAGTCCTCGCTGTTGCGGAAATTGACAAGAAAAATGTCAATCAATCCAGACAGTTTTGTCACTTTGCAGCAGCAAGCCAGTACCTGCAGCCGCCGGACTGAGGGGGCATCCTCTCATTCTGACGCTTGAATTGAAGAGGATTAAAATTCATGGTTCACTGGAAACCTTGGGCCTTTTCTCAAGTATATATACAGTACGCATAGTATATCATAATACATTGTAACATTGTATACTATTAAAATAATACATATACGCGCATATCTTCGAACATCGGATGTATGGGATGGTTTACTCCACCTTGCTCGCTCAAGATCAACTTTAAACAAGAATCAAGGCTCCATTTGGGTTCTTTGTCCCTTTTGGCCCTTGTAGCCGAAGATTGCAATGACTTGGTGTTGCATGGTGCTACAGCGGCAGTTGCACCGGAGAAGTCGACAACGCAGGGGTGGCAGTGGTTAACTTGAGCTTGGTTAACATCATATAGTCCAGTGTTGCAGTGAATTGGATCTAGCCGAGAGGGGCGACTAGGAAAGCATATGAAAACATCATGGTGTCTTCCGAGGGGCATGCAGTGATGCTTGTTTTTGCACGCCTCGGTTTCCATGGTCGAAAGGATGCGAATGTGTGTTTGTGTGTGGGTGAAGCTACGCTCCAAAGCATGGTTTGCGACTTTTGCCAAGTAGTTTGTTCCAGCAGGTTTTGACCTGCATGTTTGAACTCCTTTGGCTGCCGGTTTGGGGTTTGTCCTCCTTGGATGTGACACATCCAAGGAAACGTGTCCTCGACTATGCCGCCGGGATTTTGATCATGTTGAGACCCAGCTGCTATATGTGGGGGAGAATGTCCCATTAATCCACCCTGCGGTGACCAGCTACGCCCTACAGGAGTGCCAGAATTTGGTGTGCGACGATGGCTTCCTGTTGACTAGCATCCCTTGCTGTGCTCGTGTCCAACTGGGACCGTCCATTTGCATCCCAAAGCACCTGTGACATCAGATCTACTGGACGCGATGAGTGGCTGACATGTTAAGGGTTGCCATCAGCGTAAAGCTTGTAAAGAAACTGTGTTTTATTGCATTGGGCACATGTCATTCCTTCATCCTCCGTGCTTGGTCCTCTATAAAATGATATACTGTAACATGTTTTGCAGCTTTCTTATGGCACCTTCACAGCATTTTGTAGTGAGGAGTCTTGTTTGTTCTGGCCACTATTGCTATGCCCTTTAAACCCTTGCCAAGCATTTTATAAAGGAGTGGAGGGCTGTCACACGCACTTAGCTTGTTATCTGGGTTTGTTTTATAGAAAACTTGTTGTGAGAGCATTTGGATGTGGTTTTTCATTTTGCACCTGGCAAGAGCAGCTTATAGGAGGAGCATGTAGTCTCTGTAAAATGCTACCCCTACAGTTCCCAATGTCAAATGTGAACACGTCTTTGCAAAATCACCCGACGGGCATTATGTAGAGACCCGTCTCTTCCAGCCAGCCAAGCAGAAAACCCACCACCAGCCCATGAAGGCTCTATAAAACGCATGGCAATTCATGTCCTAAAAATCTTTCTGGTTCTGGCGAGGCTGGCTGCCACAATATTTTGTATATACACTGTTTCTTGATGTATATTGATCTAGTTTTGGTTATGCGAACCGTTTGCATTTTATTGTGAACATGTACTGTATTGTTTTTCTTTGAATGGGTTTTGCATTTTATAGAGGCCTCTTGCATCTGGAGCTGACTTTGTGCATTTTATAGAAATTGCTTGATAATTTATCTATTATAGATTTTATCTTTTGCCAGGCCTTCTATAGACGGCATGTCTTAAAATGCTCGCCACATGATCCCATTGTCCCACTAGCTGCTCTTCTCAGTGATAACTATTATGGTAGAGGTGGGTCTGATAGAAACATATTCTGAGGGGGAAACATGGGCCCTAGGAATAGTTAATAAGGTGTCGCCCATGATAAAAAGATTAGACTCCTACTTCAACATGGTAGCGGTAAACGGTCCGTATGTTCCTTTACTGGTTACGCTTTGATGTCGGTGTGCTTGTTGCAGGGTGACCCAAACTGGCTCATTTTGGCTCAACATCTGGATGTACAAACAAGCAGCAACAGATGATGGAACCACCATATACAACAGCAACAAAAACAATGCATTTTTGAATACAATACTTTCTGCCCAGAGGAAGACTATACACAGATATGCTGTAAATGCATATATATATACATATTTTGTGTTTACAACTACAAGATTGACGTATTGTTTGACTTGTATTGGTGTGTTCTGTGTGTCTCCTCTTGCAGATTATTGTTAATGATTTTGATGGGTCTTCTGAGGGCACATTGATGTGAACACTATTCTGGAATAAAATACGCAACCACAGCATACCACAGCAATAACTTTTGTTCAACCCTGCAACTAGGGTCAGGAATAGTTAATAAACTCTTATTGTTTCGGGGGCCCCTTGCACACAACTCTGCTAAGGGCCCCCCATCTTTAAGCACTTCATGGTCGGCATGTGCCGCCACTTAGGAATTCTGTGGTAATGCTCTTGGAGCTTCAGCTTGGAGGCCTACAGCTTGGCAGCACCTCGGGGCCAAATGTAGTGAGTTGTGTAATCCACAGACATTTCATACGGCCTAACGCAACCTAATGGATCCTAATGGCAGCTATCATGAGGGCAACTGAGGTGAGCCTTGATACGAATTTCGATGCCAACAGCCCCATGCGTTGAAACCTTGCTGGGCAGTGCTGTCATGTGAGGCAAAGTGGGTTATGCCACCCAATCACATGATGGAGCACTGCGTGTTTGCACGGAAGCTTGGCAGTAGCAGGGGGGGTGCTCGTAGATCTGTTATGGCTTTGTTAGATTCAGCGAGGTGTTTTTTTTCCTGCCTGCCTTTTCCACCAATATGCGCAATGGCTTGCAGTACTGTGCTTTATTGCCCCATTGTAGTTTAGCAAGCCCATTGTCCTATCATGCATATTGTTGTATTTGATTTTGTATATTTATTAATATTTGTATGCTACTTTAGTGTCCTCAGCTGTTTGTTTGCCAGATGACCTTTTTTAGATATCTTTCATTGTAGTCCTAGGTGTGAAACGCAATCGCGCAGTATACCGATCCCAAGTTCTGCTACAACAATCCTGGGAATGAACACCATTTTTCCAGTTCACTGACTGGCTGAGATCATCAACGATGGCTTCAGCATTGTTTTCTTCTTGGAACTGGTCCTCCGTGTTGCAGTGGAGAGAAGGCGGGGCAGATGTTGCTTGTTCTTTTTGCACCTGTCCTCTTGGTCCACATGCCACAAGGATGCAACAAGGACGCACCAGCAAGTATCGTCCGTAGAGGGTGCGCAGTAGAGAGTAGCGGAGTGGCTCCGATGCTGCCAGATATCAGTGAGGACCTTTCTCCTAGATGCCGCCAATTGGTTGGATGCTGCCTTGGCCATTGGAGGGCTGGTGGATTTTTTTCATCACAATTTCAATGGAAGAAACCTCAGCTTCACAGAGTGCCCTGGCCGAAAACGATCGCCGAGCCGAATGCTACACGGATCGGAGGGTTCTGTGGTGTCTATATATATATATATATGTGTGTGTGTGTGTGTCAGACACCAATGTGTCCCGGAAAAGGATCGGTTCAAGCCTTTTGTAATTGCAATCTGGGTGTCATGGGGCCACACCAACTGACATTACATATATAATTATATATCAACTAGTATTGCAGAAATGTGCAAAAGGTCAGACAGACATGACGTTGGTGGTATGTGGGGCATAGCCACGAGGGCACTACGCATTAAAAAGACAGTACCATCAAAGAGTTAATTTCAAGAAAAACAGGAGCTTTCCACGCAGTTCCACTCTTTAAAGAATGGACTTGAATGAAGTCCAACCACATGGTGACGGGTAGTAGGATGGTTGGAACATTTCGGAATGACATGGAATGACAGTGTTCAGGTTTATATAAGTTCAGTGTTGAGGTCCAGAGCCAGTCTGGAGTACAGGTATGACTGTCTCCCCCATACTGCCTATGCAGTCCCTGTACTGACAATGTGTCAGATGCTAAACCGTTCTTTCGTTTCTTAGGTATCATTCTTTTGCGACTGGTACGTGTGATGAAGTCTTTGCGTGCGATTCGCATGGTGCGCAGCTTTAAAATCTTCAGAGGGCTACGTGCCTTGGTGTGCCAAATGTTTAAGGAAGGGCTGGCGGGTGTGAATGATTGTGCGCATGAGCAGCCGCATGATATACAATGTTCAGGAAGCCGGCGGGCGTCAAGAGTATTGGCTATGTTGACCTGACGAAAGAACCCCCCCAGATTTTTGCGAAAGTCCTGCGGATTTGCTGCGGTTTGCCGTGTTGTAAGCGGATGTGCAGAATCCTCTCAAAATGTTTAAGGCCTCCTTGTCCTTCTCCATGTGTTACCCCTTTTTTCCATCCTTTGCCCCTTCCTAATTAATGTCATCACTTCTGAGTCACATTTTCATCCTGGTGCTCGATTCATGCATGTGTGAATGTTCAGGCCAATTAAAATACAGGGTCAATTTTCAAGAGAACTTACTTGGAGGTGTGCATTCACTTGCCTGCGAAGACAAACTGAGACTTATGTAGATCCTTTCCAGAAGCACATGTTTACAGCTGTTTCATTCACGCAGCCGGGACTGAGGAGTTCTGGTGAAGGCCTGTGGGTGCTTTTTGCCATCCCTATGCTGGGCAATGGTTCCTTGCTGAAGGTTGGAGACATTGGATGAGTCAACACCTGGGCCATTCTGGGCCTCTTACTCTTGGAAATCAAACTCCTGCCGGCGGTGGTAGTACCTATTGACCACCTATTTGTAATTGCCCGAATGCTGATACCGTGCTGATTCCTCAGAAGAGCTTAGGACAAAACAGGCACAATATCGAAACAGCACCTTCCGCTCGCCCTCGTCAATAAACGAAGATGTGCAGCCGAGGTTTTGCTTGGAGTATTGATGTCGATGGGCTCCCTGCTGCAGCTTGACTCAACTGATTCCGTGACTACAAGGCAATCCTGAGCATGGCTGCGTTTCGGGCTTGGAAGGGTAAAAGTCCCAGGTACTAAGTACTGTAGGAGCTACTAATGTATAGCTTGTAAACTCATTTGGGGATCGCGCGCGTTTGCGATTGCTTCTTTGATCAGGATTGCCTAGCAAAGGCAAGGGTTTGTCTTTCACTGACCTTGGCAGATAATTATTGGCAAATGAGACCACCTGACAAATCCCAGCTGATCACTTTCTGGGTATAGTGGTAGAAGATCTTGTGATGTTTCAGGGCAGTGAAGATGTTTGAACGTGCCAGCCAGAATCGCCTACATGCACATGACCCCATGATCTTTACCAACACCGATCCTTCTGTGGCAGCACAGTATGTGCAAGAATGGGACTCACCAATCAATCAGAACCAGAGAATAGTGAAGACTGATCGATGGGCATCCCTTCTTCGGCACTGCTTCCTGTGATGGGCTGGCTTTGCATAAGTAACATTGCTGATGTTACCCTGTACGTTTGGTGCAGCATCTCGGCCATTGTTACCCATTGACAAACCATGCTTGAGGCAAGTCAAGTGTTTTCTTCAGTACTTCAAGGTCTGTGTTTTCTTCAGTGCGGCGAACATTCCTAGGATCGGAAACCTTTTGCAAGACTTCATTGCAGATGAGACCTTGGAATATGCCCATCGTCTTTGGCTTTGGGAGCACTATGGCACTGCCTGGCGAGCATCTCGGAGACAGTGAGCCGGAGTCGTACAGGGCACAATCCCACTGTACTCCTGAAACCACTGTATATGTGTTTGCGGGAGGTTTATCTTTGGAATTGGTCGCCAATTGTGTTTAAAGCTTCCCGACTAACAGGGGCATTCTTCATGTTTGTCTGTTCCAATTCATGCTCTTAATCTATATGTTATATATAAATGATACTAAATTACTATATTAATCTATATTAATCTTCTTGCGAGATTTCCAAGGTGTCGTCAAGCTGAGTCCCTCGATGGGCCTTAAAAGGAGTAGGACGGAGCAGCACGTGTGAAAAGCCATTATAATGTGCACATATGTGCAAATCTTTTTTGAACACCTTGTCCATTTAGATAGCCCAAGATCCCGGGTCGTGTTGCATTTCAACGGAGTGTGGGTGGGATCCAGGGTGGAGCGAGCAATGTTGTTTTTCACTTTTGCATACTTTTGCTTGTTTCATTTTTCTTAGACTCCAGGCAACCTACACTCTCTTCGAAGTAACCATGGCAGGCTGGGACCTATCGCGTTGATAGCATGAACCGCTGATCCATCGTCTGACCACGGCAGGAAATTGGCCTGTGAATGCGGAACCCGTTCTGGAGCTGAACCAGGCAGTTCGTTTTGGAATTTGACATGCTACTAGGAACAAGTGCCTTACTAGTAGTAACAGGTGCCACGCTAGTAGTAACAAGAAGCTATTAAATTTGTTTTTAAAATTAGTTATAATATTAGCTTTTTGTTACTACTAGTAAGGCACCTGTTACTACTAGCGTGGCACTTGTTACTACTAGCTTCTTGTTGAGTCAGGATCCCGGATGACATCCCAAGACGGTGACATAAACACAGGTTCTCCGGTTCTGGAGTTTCCCACCGGTTTGCGGGTGGGTTTTGGGCGTCACAGTGCAGCACCACGGTGTTTGATTAAAACACATGATAAAGAGTGTCATGGCATCCCTTGGTGAACACATATCACATTCTTTAGACCATTGTAGACTTCATCGCCTGTGATCTAAGTCCTCCCTACCATCTAGTGAAGAGAGGGGCACTGGGAACCAAATGGTTTACAGGATCCCATGGTTTCAGGGCTCCCTGCGACGCCAGGCCTTCTCGCTCTTTTTCATTTTTTATGTGACGATTGTCGTCTTTGCGGTCATCAGGGTGATTACAGCTGTGTTCTTGCGACTGGGCGTGTAATTGGATGGGATGCCACACGTCTTGATCACAGAAGGCACACGAAGAACTGCAGCAGTGACATGGGGCCTAGATCTTCTGAAACCTGGGCCATGTTGTTTGCATTTTTTGATTACCCCGCGGAAAAAGTGTCGGCTCGAGACCTTCCAGTTTGGTGCACTGTTCGCGACTGACGCTCGAGGGGTGGGTGCCAATGTTGGAGTGTCGCCTTACCGACAGGGTTGGTGACCGCTGGACTGGGGTGCTCGCGGTGAACGAGCGACTTGCTCATGATCGATGGCAGTGCACGCAAGTGCTTACTCAGGACCTTGGTGTCTTGGCTTGTTCCCTGGATGAAGGGGTTCAAAAGGTGACCATTTATGGTGCTCTTGTCACCATGGAGGATGGGGGTATCGTTCTCCGGACTGATGAATGCACCAAGTTTGTTGTGAGCAATGATGGACCCCGGATCCCTCAAAAGGCGAAAGAGGTTTGTTGTGGGTTGGCCAGTATGAGCCTAGCTGCGGGAGTGCTGGGCCTAGAGTCAGTTGCTGCCATGGACATTAACTGGCTGGCAATAAAGCATTTGAAGCTGAATGGCCACAAAAATCCGATGCTGGGCGACATTTTGCAGGATGACAACATTTTTCGTCTTCAATGTTGTGAACCCACCTCAGGATGTTTGTGGATGGCTGGCTTCCCATGCCAAGCCTTCTCACGACAGGGGGACCAATTAGGATTCGGGGACAAAAGGTCAGCCCCATTCCAGGGAGTCCTGAAGGGCGCTTGGTTGAACCAAGCATCAATGCTGATGCTGGAATGCGTGCCAGAAGTCAATCAGATCCAGTTCATTGGTGACTCCCTCCGTGCTCTAGCAAGTGCTTTGGGCCTCCGCCTGTTGACTCAGATCCTTGCACTTGAGGACAGTTGGCCTTGCAGACGAACCAGGTGGTGGGCTGTCATGATCCCAGTTGAGATGATTTTGACCACCTTGCGCCCCATGCCCAAGTTTGAGTTTGATGCGATTGACAAGATTATTGGTCATTGGGGTCGATGGGATGATGAAGCCGAACGACAACTGGAGCTTGATGGGCTTGAGCTACAGGTCATGCATGACCCCGAAATGGCAGCGATCAGAGAGTCCTCAATCTGTGCAACGTTCCTGCACAGCTACAGCTGCGCACTCAGGTCATGCCCGTGTGGATGCAGAAACTCCGGGCTGAGTCCTCAGAGGCTAGCCAGAGGTGGACTACGTGGATGTTATGTTCATTCAGCCAAGACGAATCTGCCTCGATGGCTACATCCCAGAGAGGTTGCATTGCTTCAGACTCTCCCACCTGATTTGCAGATTGCTGATGACCTCAAGGCCTCACTTGTCATGCTAGGGCAGATCGCTGCGCCAGCTCAAGCGTTGTGGATCTTGTCACAATGCCTTGACTCGGTGAACCCAGGATGCCATGCACCGGAGGAGATCTTGCACAAGTACCTCAAGCAGTTATGTGTGAGCGCATATCATGTACTGCCAGGAGCCCTTACATCGGGTGTTGTGCACACGCATTTGTGGAGTGTGGAAAATGGTGGCTTCACCGTGCTGATTCCAGGGGGCACCAAAGCAGGCACGCTCATCGATGCCAGCAACCGATGGGATCGTACCTGCCGACAGCGGCTGCTGGATCATAACTATGTGGTGCCTGACTATGCCTTCGTTCGACAGGCAGGACAGATGGGGGCATATGACCTAATTGACATCCCGGTGGAGACACAAGGCGGTTCATTTGGTTTAGTGAAGGTGACGATTGAAACCAACTGTGGGCCGTGTCAAACTTTGATCCGAGCCGGTGACTTCGTCTTTCAGGCTTTCTGGCAGCTCCAGATGCAAGTAGTCCCGACAGGTTGGATGGGCCCTCCCTTAAATATTTATTCCAGGGGGGCATGTCACATAGTGGAATATTTTTTGTGGAATAATTAGACGGTAGAATATTTATTTAAATAATCCTAAAGGGGGTCTCTTGATGCTGAGACTCAGGAGGAATAATTTCATGCCAACTATCCCTGGAATAATTTACATAATCGAAGCTACTATCGAAGCTTTTCGAGCCTGTGTTGATCTGTCTTGGATCTGTTCCACGAGTTGATATTTCTAATGACAGAAAATATTCCTGCATCAGGTGCACATCTGGAATAATTATCCTGAAACTATGTTCAAGGCCCCAGGAATAATTGCTAATTATTCCTAGGTATGTGGAGATAGGGGGGGGGGTCTAAGGTAGGGGCCATCAGGTTGGTTCGATGATCATGACAATTGGTGGTGGCCGGACTCTCGAATCTGGGAAGACTTGAGGCTCCAGTGCGTCAAGGTGATTGTATGGGATGGGCCAGCCAAGTGCAACATCCAACCCGCCAAGGTGACTGAGATTGTGGATGTGGGTAAGATGCAGGAGAAGGTTGACCACATAGCACGCCAAGGCATGCCGCCAGGAGCTATGGTGTTGAGAATTGCTGACAGTCTTCAAACCACTTACCCTTTGCCTCAGATTGAAGAGAAATGTCTCGCAGCATGTCGAGAGGCCAAGGTGATCTATGGGCTGTTCCAGGGCTGTGGACACTGGGCATTGTATGTGGGAGTTCGGAATGGGCAGCATCTGTTGCTTCATTACTTTGATGGGCTTCCACATCTCCTTCATCAGGAGATCAAGGAGGTTGCAAAGTGGCTAAAGGCTGCTTGGAGCTGTGAGGAGGTAGAGATCAAGTACGGAAGATGTGTGGCACAAGTTCACGATGACATGAGTGCTGTAGTCGCTCTGGCACATCTAGGGCTTGCATGTGGCTTGCAGGCTATCCCAACAGATTCCATGCTGTCAGAGTGGCACACGTCAATGATTACTGATGAACCTGAGGAGGATGAGGCTGCGTCATTCACACCAAAAGGCTTGGATTGCACCACAATGCAAGAAGCAGTGGAGGAGATCGTCGAGATGACAGGCAGCCACATCTGGGTGGCACCCGATACATTGGTGCAAAATCTCATCCAGCATGAGTGGCACGGGCTGGATCCGCTGCTCCAATCGCAGGAAGGCATGGCTCAGGAGATTGCCATGATGGTCCTTTCTGATGGTCATTGGTTTGTGGTTCACCTTGCGTGCTGTGATGGTTGGCTTGAGGTGGACTACTTGGATGGTCTCCCTCATGCTTTTGGTGCTGTGGTGACACAAATTGCCAAGTGGGCTGAACAGATCTGGCCAGTCAAAGGCTTCGTTGTCCACTATGTGACAGTTCATGCACAAGAAGATCCAACTCAATGTGGCACTGTGGCACTGGCCAATCTTCAATGGATCCTGAGTGGAGGCCATGTGATGAGCCAAGGCGACATTGATGATTGGCATGAAGCGCTAGTGCTGAGAGGACTGCAACGTGAGGGCCCCAGAGGTTGTGGAGGTGGAGGACCAGACATGTTGCTCACCAGACTTTCCAGCCTGTTGGTAGACAAAGGTGTCCCAGAGGATAGAAGTGATGAGAGAGCCCTTGCCGGCATTCAGGCCCTTGGGGGAGAAGGCGGTGGATCAGGCGTTGCGGGCAAAGAACCCATGGGCAGAACTGAAGACACTGGCGTCCAAGCCAGGGGTGCGATTCTTGTGGGTCAAACATGACGAACTCATGAAGCAAGTCAGAATGCGAGCCGAGAACAAGTTCGGGATCTCCAGCCATGGCAAGAAGAGGGAGAGGCAACGAGACACCAGACAAGCACAGGTGCAACTGGCTCCATCACATCTCACCTTGCTGGATGGCTCCTTCGTTGATGAGTCAGGTGAAGCAGTGAAGCAAATCCAATTTGATGAGGTCAAGGCCCACGCCACTGGCATTGCATTGGCTACGGTGGGCCAAATCCTGCCGTTCCTGGTTGAGGGGAAGTCGCTTAGCTTGGAGCCTTTGGCAGTCATCACCACGGAAGAAGTTCCACATGAACAACAAGGTCTCCTGCCGGTCACACAGATCAGGTTCCCTGCGGAGTATGCAGGTACAAAAGAACCTGTCCTGGTACAGGGATCGTTGATCCAGCTGGGTGACAACACAGTGACACGGAAGCAAGACGGTGTCAAGCCAGTGATTGAGGCCAACAAGACCTGCACCTTCAAGTTGGTTGTCTTCAGAGATGAATGGGAAGCCAGCAACCTGCACTGGGCAGATCTGTGCAAAGGCCCTATGAAGGCACTCTTTCAAAATCAGGAGGCATTGACGCTTTGCAGGGGAGCTGCTTGTGGAGGAGGTTGCCCACGATATCATGCACCAGTTGATGTCGAATGCGACAGTCTGATCACGGACTTGTGGGACAGACGATGGGCAAAGACAGATGGTGGAGGCAGGGTCACGCCTGACAAGGCGGGCCTCTTTTCAGTCATGATGAGGGTGCTTGATGATGCAGATGAATGGATCCAGGGTGTCTCAGGTCAACATGGCATATACCTGGAACCCAGACAGCAGGATGGCAAAGGCCCGGCTGATGAATATGGGGTCATCTGGCTCCCACAGCAAGGCCTCAAAGAAGCTGAACACAAGAAGAAGACGATGCAAGGTGCAGTTGCCATAGCCCGCATTGGTCATCGGTGGGGCCTGCGATTTCGTGACGAGGACATGGAAGCAGCTTTCAAAGAGCTCAGACCCAGAGAGCAATACAGCAAGATCTCACTTGACAGGATCTTTGTGATGTACCCTCTGCCACATGGCACCACCAGGCAGGGACTCCAGAAGAGCCTGAAAGAATGGGGCTGGGAAGCGAAGCCTTTGCAACCCACCAGAGGTGGAGCGGAGGGCGCTGGCTGGCAAGTCGGGAGCGGCAAGGCTCCTCCAAGCATGGTCCTGCAAGGTGCACATGGTGATGTTGTTGTCACCCCTGTGCGAACAGTTCAGCAAGTCCGGGAGCCCCCCAAGATCTTGAGCTCTTTCAAAACCAGATCGCACTTGAAGCAGGCGGCCAGCAGCACAGGAGCCCCTGCGGCAGATCCTTGGCTCC